TTCTTCTTGCTCTATGGTGCTATTAGTATTGTAGTTTTCCATACAGTTACCAGTTTGGAGAACATTTGTATTTTGTTCTAATTCATGTTCTCTGTTCATTTCAAAGCAGGCCATCACTGCTCTGAAAAAAGGTGCACAGTTACTCAAGTATGGACGCAGAGGAAAACCCAAATTTTGTCCTTTCAGGCTGTCCAATGTATGTCTTTGAAGACTAAAGTATTTTCTTAATGTTTTTGCTTGCATATTTTTCTTTATTGCTTATCGTTCTCTATGCTGGACTTTCAAATGTAAATTTGAGTTCTTATGAGTACCTGCTCTTGCATTCAAGTTGATTAGTGCATATTTATTAATTATTTCTTGCTTTGCTTAGTTTATGTTACAACTAAAGGTATGTCAAAGGGATCCGCAGTGAAATATTTGATGGCTTTAAAATGTATAAGAATTATATATAGAGGAATCGTCTCTTGTCACATTTTTGGCATGTTATGCTACTAGACTGTGAATTAGGGCCGCACTTTCAGATACAATTCTACTGCACCAACAGTCCTCATTCATAGTCTAGCAAGAATTTTTTTTATTTTATATATATATATATATATGGTATGCTGCAAGGAGCATATCACATTAGGTGAAAGGGAATATCTGCTATCTCTGCACTCATTAGGCAGTGCCTTTGATTTTCCTGCAATATTTGCAGTAATTTGAGAAGATACAGATACATAACAAACTGGTGCTCTTTTCTATTTTTTACGTGTATCTATATTGGGTTGGCTAAAAACTTGCTCTGTGGAATGAGTTATTTCATACTCTGACAAGCTTTTCATCACTGGAAATGTCAGCAAGTGTTTCTCAGAAGAGGATAGCAAATAGAAGAATAGGTGGAACCAATTTTTAATGAAACACCCCAACAAATTTTTTCATTTTAAAGGAAAAATTGATACAGTAGTGTAGTGGAGAAGGAATGACTACAAGATTCATTAGTACCCTTCCTCAAATTACTTTCTGTGGAAGTAATCAGCTTTATAGAGACATTGGTCTCTAGTGCATTATGGTTTTACTAACATTGCCCTCCGTTTGGATAAGGGAAAATACTCGGAATTTAGCTAAAAGTCGGGAATTTGAAAGGAGAAATTGACAATTCCCTTGTTTGGTAACTTAAGCGTGGAATTTATTAAACGACGAGTGGAAAAATTCGTGGAAATTGGGGCATCAAATTCCCGAGTTTAATTTCCACAAAAATAGGTGTCATTTCACAATTTTCATAGTTCCATTTAGAAAATTCAACATACATAAATCCAAACACTGAAATCTTCAATTGCCAGAAATTGAAATGATGCAAATCTAAATTACTTCATTTTAGAATTCTATGTAATTTTCAATTCCTTCGTCCAAACGGAGGGTTAGAGTTTGAAACCTTCATTGAGTTTGCTTCTTCAAATATGATCCCCATGCTAAATTAGGCACTTGAACACCATGCAAACCTTTTTATGTGCTACTTATATGACATTGAAAGTAAAAGAAAAAAAGCATGAAGTTAATGACATAACAAGGGCTTTTATTCTGAACTAAATAATGTTGGTCTTGATGTTTTGCGGTCCTCGGTCCTAAATAATGTTGGATGGATGCTTGCACATGCCCATATCTAGCAATCTTGATGTTGCAGTAATTATTTATCTGAAGCTCTTTTGTTCGGAACTACATGGCCTTATAAAATTCTTATACTTTTTATGATCACTTTCTTAAGCTTTAAGGGATCTGATAATCAGATTTTGTATGAGTCATTTATCGCAGTTTCTTGTGATTTAGCGAGCAAAGAAATCTTGTAGTGAATTTCCTTCTTTTTTTTTTTTTTTTTACTAAGGTTTTGAATGTTCTTCCGTGTTACTTCTTTCAGG